ATGCTATTAACCCCTTAAAAGTTCTAGTTTTCCTGAATATTCATTTGACATAGGATACAACATTGTCCTTAAGACAGACAGATCTGTCTATCTGTGGGTGACAGAGACAGATAGGTATAATGGCTATAGCTTATTGCAGCAAGAGAAAGCCAAACAATCTGCATTGCCCAATACATTTAAGTAAATCTAAGAGGAGGCTTCAGGAAGATAGCAGGATTAGCTTGACAAAGATTATTTGTTGCTAAACAGACTCTTCAGTGTTTCCCTCAGCCCTGATACACACAATGAACTGCTCCACCCAGAGCCTTTCCATTTGCTTCATGGCTCAGTTGATTTTGATGGTTTTATTGTGAAGCAAGATTTATGGAGCCCCAGGAAGGAATAAAATTAAAAACTTCCGTTCCCTGTGTTCCCACAGAGGAGTCCCCCGTGTCCGCTCACGGTGCTGGTAAGTGGGCTGGGTGAGGGGTCCGGCTTTCCAGCCCCATGATCAAACCGGGTCCTCTTTGCAGTCCCACAACGGGAGACGTGCGAGTGGCTCTGCAGATCCATCTCTCAGGTTCTATTGTCTTGGACAAGGAAAGCGAGAGCACTTGGCTACCTAACATCAAAAAATGAACTTTAAAATTAGTTGTTTTACAGAATAAAAATGTCTAGATTTTTTTTTTCCCCTCTGTAGGGACTGTCACATTTTTAAGCTCTCCTGGGCTGTGTGGCACTATTAGCTCCAGGCTTCCAGAGTGCCGAATGGCTCATTGCAATAGCATGCTTCCATCAGCAGGATTTTTAAGAAAAATGCTGTAAATCATGGGGTTCAGGAGGAAATCACAGACGTTGGCACCAGTTTCAGTGGCGCAGCTCCTTGTCTCCCCTCTCATCTGCCCCGTAGGTAGATTTTTCTGCAGGAGGACAGAGGGTTGGTGTGAGGGCAGTGGTCTGGCCGGCAGGACGTTGTTCCTGCGGGATCCTGCTAGCTGGGTTCATCTTGAAACAGCGCTGGCATTTCCAGCCTGCCACGGCCCTGAAAGGGTTTTCATCTCATCTGTCGGCAGTGGCCCTGTTGTCAGAAACAAAACAAATCCTGATCACCATTGAAGGAGCAGATACGCCCTGTGTTGCAACATCTGAAACCAGGCCCATCAATCTGAAACTCCCCCTACTCCCAGTGCCAACAGCTCCATTGATGACTATGCTCCAGAAAGAAAAGAAATTGCTTTTCCCCTCACTGTAATGTCAGCCCACCATTTGGAGACTCCCCCGCATCTTCCTTTTCATGCTGGAGGTGGTGCAGTCATCTCTGTGACCTGCAAGCATCTGCTTCCCTGGTTTTCCGCTTCATTGCGTCTCTGTTTAGACACTGCAATGCCCTGTCCCACATACTAATTACTGACTTTTTGCTTCTGAGGAGCTTGATTCATTCTGGCACATTTTCCCACGTGAAACTGGACCTAGAGCCTTGGAAAATATCTTAATGGACATCAGAGTAAGTCTGAGTTTAACCCCAAACTGGCTGCTCTATCTGAGCTAAAAGGCACCTCTTTCAGACCGTAACTGTGGCAGCATGAACCTTCCTTGCGTGCAGTACTTTGCTTCACGAATGTCCCCCTGAAATGAGGGCATCCCTGGCAGAGCTGGGCGTTGCTCAGGGAGGGGAGGTGTTTGCACTGGCACCACCTTATCTCAGCTCTTCTGGCCATGCTCCGAGTCGATGCTCTCGCTTGTGTGATTGCAGCAAGTGAACGCTCTGTAAGAAAACGCCTTTTGTTTTTTCTCCCTGTAAAGCTCTTGCCGTTTCCCACAGGAGCAGTTTCTGTTCAGGGCTTGCTGCTGCCAGGTACTGAACGGCCTCTGGGAGGACAGCCGTCCTCAGCTCCCACCGGCCCCGGCAGCCGCTCTGGCGAGGTCGGACCTTCGCTGCACAGCGTGGACTTAGGCTTGCAGTCTACTGAGGCTGCTGGTTTCCTCCAGAGGCTTTTGTTTGTTCTCCTGCCTCCTCGACAGTGCGGGGGGACAAATGTCGTCGCCTCGTGCGTCTGTCTGCCCCGAAGAGAGAGCCCTGGAGTGAGGCAGTTTGGGGAGTTTTGGGGTAGATGGGGTTTAGATCAGTTCTTGCTCAGCGGTTCCTGCGCTGCCGCTCGAGTTCATGATTTCAGGAGTGTCTTCCACCTCATTGCACTCGGAGTGTATTTTTGAAAAGGAGGCTCGTGTATTTGCAGGCTAAGCAGAGACCGCTTTCTCCTGCCCAGGGGAGCTGGCACACCCAGCTTTTGGGGGAAGGAGAGCTGGTTACGGGGCAGAGGCACTGGGCTGAGACTTGGGAGAGTTGCGACCGATGCCCAGATGTGCAAGGCACGTCTTGCGTGCCCTTGTCGTCTCACCACATCTCTCTCTACCTCAGTTTCTGCGTGACGAACAGAGATTAAAAACAGTTTCTTTCCCTTTTCTTTCTCTGCTAGTTTCTAAGCATTTTTGGAGCAGGAAACACCTCTTACTGTGTTTGGTAACTGATCTTTGAGTAAAAGGGTTTTGTCCTTAGGAGTCCTAAATGCTGCCAGTGTATAAATAAAAATCATGAATGGCAGCCCGGCGGTGCAGCAGGCAGGAGGGCTCCCGGTCGCAGAGGCTGGCCCGGGCTCTCTCCTCCTTGCAGTAATTCTATCTGTCAGCCCCGATTAACTCGAGAGACTGTTTCAAAGGTTTGGCAGGAAGGAAAGATTTCCCTCTTTTCGAAATGAATATATTAATTTTGTTTTTCTGAAGTGAGCGCAGAGGAACAATCCTTGCTCAGCTACTCTTGCAGCAGAGGCCTTTCATTTAGGTGCTGAAGAGAAGTAGATACATTTGACCTCGATGTAATTTAAAGACTCTTTTCTTAACCTACCTGCCTCTCCCAAAATAAAAGTCCTGTCTCCTGTTGAACGTGTGTTACATCCTGGGGGCTTCAAGCACAGACCCAAGGACGTGATGCAGCCCTCAAAACCATGTCCTCCGCAGTGTGCTCAGGTCTCAGGCTTCCTCTTAGAGGCACCTGATGAATCGAGGCAGCCGGAATTAATCTTCACCATAGTCACCTCTTAACAGCTTAACCTCTTCGCTGCTACACTTGAGTCACTTTGTAATTTCAGCAGAATTTCACCTTAATGTATTCGGTTCCCATCTTACTCTGACGGCTGCTTTTGTACCTTTGGCATGTGAAAGATTATGATTGATTTAGTTATACGCTTAATGAAACTATTGGTGCTGGCTGGATTTTTTTCCAGTTTCATAACATTTGACAAATAACAGGAGTGGAAAACCTGGAATGAAACTTGCCAGAACTTTCTCTTTCCCTTCCTTTTCTGCCAGGAGATCTGGTTGAACTTTTTTTGAATTCCAACCGTCAAATGTATTTTGATAAAAGTTAAGAAGCTTTCGCAAGCTCTCCTGTGTCTTGACTAAAAACTGAACTTGTGACTTTCTACAAAATTATTTCCAGTATTTTTCTGGTAATAATATTTGTATTTAAAGCTCTAACTGTGAGTAATTACTAAGGACTGCTATTTTTACTGTATTCTGGTTTGGATCATTAAATTTCACAAGCTTCGTTCTCACTCTCTGTTTCATTTCTATTCGATACAGTATTATGTCCTGTCCCAAAGTATTGCGTGCGTAGTCAGAGCGTCCTCGTGCTCTACCCCAGAACAGGCTGCCTTTTGTTGATCAGTGAAGCTTTTTGTGATGTATAAAATACCCACCTGTTTCATGGGGTTGCTCTGAATCATCCTTGTTAAATTTAAGGGTACAAAAAGCGTGTCTCACCTCAACTGTATTGAAATTAGATTAAGAGTCACAGGATTAGCTCTTCTGCAATTTCAGTGTGTTTCTTGGTTTTGGGCCTGCGGGGATTTAAGCATATAAATAAGATTTCTGCCTGTGCGTTGGTTACTGAGCGAGGCAGGGCACTGCTGGAGGCAGCTTGCCCGGTCGGGCAGAACCGACCATTACAGTCCCAGCGGGTTGCTGGAGGTGCTGGGAGGAGCTGCCTCCTGCGGGCTCTGCTCTGCTCCTGCCGCCCCTTCCCTGCGCCCAGCTCTGCCCCTCTCCTGCCCCGGGAGGTCCTCCCCAGCCTGCCTTCGGCTCTGTCCCCAGATCCCATCGTCCCCGTGCTGGAACCAGCTGGGAACTGTTTGGCAGCCTGTTTACGAGTCTTAAAGTCTCCTGTCCCTGTGGTGCAAGCGCTGACCTTGTGTCTCCGATTCAGCCTTATTTCCAAGCTTTCTGTATGGTCTCTTGTTCCTGACCAGTTTTCTTGTATCAGCTCTTCTTTCAGCTGCTCACCGTATTTTCCTCCCCAATCCTTTCACATTCTCCAGCACTCCCCTCCTGTAACCTTTATTCTCCGTCCTTCAGAGCCTTAGTTCTGTGTCCAGCTTTCTACTCAAATCTCCTTCCTGCATCCCAAAATGTCACGTCCAGCTCCCTGCTTGATGGGCTTCGGTGTTCCCTGAATGCGATCTGACATCAGCTTGTCTGGAAAATATTGCACTCCTGTTCTTAAGAAAAAAATACCGGGAAATCAACAGTTTCAATGAGAGTCTAGCCTGTAGGTAAGGGGGGACCTTGAAAATCTGAAGTGAAGCAGGAGTTTGTGCATTTGATACTTTGCTCGGGAGATCATGGAAAAATTAATGTAAAATATGTAAATTTTAAGTTTTTCATAACAAGTATAAATAGTGAAAGTAAAAAAACCTCACTCTTGTTTAATTGCAATACTGGGCTTTCAGGCTCAATTAGAGCTGGAAAATACTGTTAATTCATCAGACGAAGAGATCAGAGTTTGACTTACCAGGTAATTTTTCACCTTCATTAAGAACACAGAGAAGTAAAGTTCTGCGTGGTCTCCGCTGTCCTTGACTTAACTGGGAGTTAGACACGCTCAGTATCACCCAGGACCCCTAAGTCTGAAGATAGCACGTAAGGTTTTTCCAGTTACTAAAAACATGTGGACTTTTTCTTTCTAGGCCCTCCGTCTGCTCCCCAGAACCTGATTTCCAATGTCAATGAGACATCGGTGAACTTGGAGTGGAGCCCCCCCCAGAACAAAGGTGGTCGGGAAGACATCTCCTACAACGTGGTATGCAAGAGGTGCGGTGCCGGTGACCTCAGCCGCTGCCGGTCCTGTGGCAGTGGTGTGCACTTCAGCCCCCAGCAGAACGGCTTGAAAACCACCAAAGTCTCCATTACTGACCTCCTTGCACACACTAACTACACCTTTGAAGTCTGGGCGGTGAATGGAGTGTCCAAGCAAAATCCCAGCCAGGACCAAGCTGTGTCAGTCACTGTGACAACTAACCAAGCGGGTAGGAACCTAAACACAAATTCTCTTCCTCTCTCTTCTGCCTGTTTTTTAGGAAAGCTGTGATTTCCATTACATTTAGCATTAGCAAACGAATGCAAGGAGCCCCGAGATGCATAACTGGGTCAAACCCTTATTTTCTGGTTATTTATATGGGTGGTTTAAATTCTTTAGAGCTAGAAAAACAGAGGAGGGTTTGACTTCTGTAGCTGGGAGCAGAGCTCTGCTGCAGCACGCTGCGAGGACACTGGGAGGCATTCTGCAGAAGCAGAACAGCACAACTGCCCTGGGTGACGCGAGGGGACAGAGCCAGGGCCGCCAGCGGCTCGGCCCTTTGTAGGGGAGACCCTGCACATGGGCACGAATATGCCCTTGGGGTTTGCAGAGGGCAAAATACGCGCTGGGGGAGCACGGGATTGCGCTTCTGCCTCCTTCCAAAAAGGGCTGTGTAAGATTCAAAAAGAAGAATGAGTTGGTGCTCCCTTGCCTGCCTGCTCTCTCTCCTCTCCCTGCAAAGTCAATTAGATTCTGTCCCATTGTTAAATAAATACCTTCTTAACCTCCTGCTAACAACATTTCAATTGATCAGAGCTGGCATTACTTTAGAAATCCTATATGAGCTTTCATCTTCATGCTGGCTGAGTTTTGCGTTTCACTCATCTGGGAGAGTGAAATACCATTTCTGTTTATACCTGATTATTTCAGATACCCTAGGCAGTTCTACTTTTTTCAGTCCCCCATGCTTGACCCAGTAGAGGCTGCTGCAGCAGATTGCGGTTTAGTTTTGATGATCATTCGTATGATTTTTTTTCTTTAATTACATGAAAACATTTCTTGTTTGCAGCTAGCTAGGGTTTCAAGCACAGAGTTCCAGTTGAATGTTTAATGTAATGCACAAAATTGTATACATTTGAATAGGACACTCTGCTAGATGCAAATTAGATATCCAGGCTGTCAGACTGGTTACAAGACCGTCAAACCTGTTACCTAATCGCTCATAGTGCTGATTGCCTTAAGTCCCACAGATGTTGCAGGCATTCAGCACCTTAGAGCGTCGCTTACAGGGTTATCATTTATCATTAGACTTGTGGTGTATGGGGCAATGTTAATATTTTATATTTTGATAGTACGGGACTATATAAATATTTTAAATTCTGTTTCCTAGTAGATGCATGTGAAAAATAGGTATGCATAGGCTAAATCTACAAATTTTAGCTCTAGTCCAGAACACTTCAGTATTAACGGTGAGAGATACATTGAATTTTGCAGTGAACAGTTACAAGCAAAATTGTCAAGTCCACGCCGAAGCTCCTTTGAAAATCTGGTCCAGTGTTTTTTGTTCTTTACACACACAGTTGACAGCATCCCTTTTAAATTATGATTCAAAAATTCAAACTATCGCTTTGCCTAGTGAGAAGAAGACTAATAGAGAACAGGGGCTATTACAGAGTCTTGGGAGAACGCTGCGGGAGAATGCTGTCATACGCTATACGAAAAGAGAAGGTTGAGAACAGCAGCAGGGACTGTTTTTGTGCTGTGAATGCCTAGCAAAGAGAGTATTTCTGACCGATTTTGGCATGTGTAAGGATTAGTGGATGCATATATGCATGAATAAGTGAGTGGGATCCATCTACCGTGTGAAAATTCTACCATCTTATGCTTTAATATGCAAACCGAAATCTGATTGAATATGCAAATAAGAATTGATTTTGTTTATTATCCATGAGTAGCAGTTCTTCACATCAGGAAATTTGTATTTTTGCCAGCATTTCCAATTATGAAACATGCCCAGTCTATCAAATGCTTCAGAGGGCCGGAGAATACTGTACTGGTACAAATGAAAGTTAACTCCAAGGTGCCGGTGTTCTCCCGTTCTTCATACGACTTTGTGTATTCTGCTGCAGAGAAGATCTGAATAGAAATGTGTGGCCTAAACCCACAGATCTCAGCTGAGATAAATAGTCCTTACATAAGCAAATAATCCCATTGATTTCAGTGAAACTGCTTGCTTGAGTAAAGGTTTGTAAAGTTGGACCCTTGGGTTTTACAAGTAGTGATCTGTTTAATCATTGTAAATGTGTGTCTGGGGTGCATTAAAATTCTTGTGCCACTCATTTTCTTTCACTATCTTTCATTATAAAGAAATCATGTCATGATAGAGCACTGCCCTAGGCTTGGTTTTGATCTTGCACCTTTCTTACACTAACGTAAAGCTACCTTGGTTTCTTTGCAGCAACTTCTAAATTCGGATTAGAGCCAAGCTCCTCCTTTAATAACGCTCTTTCCCTGTTTTGCTAATAAAAATGAAACTACCAACACTGAAAATCTGTAAATGACTTTATTGTTTTTGCTATCTATGCTTGTGCTTTCCAACATTTGATAGACAGAAAAATGTAGTTAATGTGGTTCTGTAGTTCTTTAGATATGAGCAGTGCTTTTGGGTCATATTCTGGGGAATTTGCTGGAATTGTTTGCAAGAGGTGCATCTTTGAGGTAAATTCAGTAGGGATGATAAGTATGCAAGGGACCAGGAAATCCTTCCTCTTCGGAGCAGTCTCAAATGGACCTTCCAAATACGCAGCTGTATAATTGAAGAAAATAGACAGAAATTTTAGAACACAGTTTTTGATGTAAGAATCAGAAATCCGAATATTTGTATGTTTGCTTGCGTGGGTGCCAGCCCCTGCAGGAGGTATGCATTTGGAGATGGACAGAAAGCAATGAGAAACCAGTTACTGGTATATCCAGTACAAAATTGAAGAAATGTGTTGCAGTGACATAAAAGGTGCAGTTGAAAGGCACAGGTGGTTTTTTGTGTGCTCTTGCCATTTTACTCCTGGAGATAATGAAATGAGGCAGTTTACTTTCCCCCTTTGTTTAGAAACTTTTCAGTTTCCAATACTGTAGAAAAATGTTTAAATGAAAATAAGCTTTTGCCATTCAAAGTAGGATCAAAAAGCATTTGAAAAAGTATTTTTCCTGTTTCCTTTGAAAAGCTCCTGGTTTTTATAGCTTTTCTTTTTAAAGAGAGAAGCTAAATTTCAGGCTTTGAACCAAGTAAAAATTTCTGTCTCCTAATGAAATACTTCAATGTTGTGACGTTTCAAGAATTTTGAATGGTGAATTCAGCTCGTTATTCTACATGTTTTGTATAACAATTTT